CCCCAAAACCCCAAAACCCCAAAACCCCAAGCCTCAACATTCACTAAAAATAGAGTGAGGATAAATTAATTGAAATAAATATAATGATGATAGAAGTCCTAATAGTAGTATTTCAAGATCCAAATTTGCATAAATATTAAAATCACAATGCTTTTGATTAAAAGAAAACTTTATATATGTCAAACTGTAGTTTTTCTTTGCCTTATAAAATTATTATGGACTATGAAAACAAATCCATTCTAATGCTTTGAAGATTAATTTCCGATATACGTTTCTTTTCTAACTAACACTGAGTTTAATCTTGTTAACTATGTTAATCCAGATATCATAGCAGTAGGAGTCACTACAGATCGTACTTTATCTGGTTCTAAGACATATCAGACTTTGGTAATTGGAAAATTTCTTAATACTGGGTACATGAAGTGGCTTAAAATCATTAAAGACAATACAGCTGAACCTGTGTCAATGGATTCAACATCTAGCAATACTTATTTACTTGTTACTGATAATGAGGGTTCATCTTTAATTATTTTAGACAGTGATGGTAATATCTAGAATACTTTAAGAATAAACGAATTATCTTTGGATATTTCTCTTAGATTTGAAGCATAAGATGCCGTTGGTTATGATAGTAAGACCTCATCTGTATTCATTTTGTATACATAAACAACTTAAAAGCCTGCAGCAAAGTATTCACGAGTTGCACTACTTCAAATAACTTTCAACAAATGGCCTTCTACTTATAACACGAAAAATATGTTTATTCAATTATACTATACTCCTAATTCAAGAGGTCACAATTTCAGAATACATAGGGAAAATAGATTATCAATGTCAATCGAGTTTGACTAAAATCCTGATCCATCTTCAACAACTAGAGAAATAGCTGTAATTACAATTGATTAAAAAACTGCAGGATTTAAAAATGGTGAATCGTTTTTCGCTTCATTTTTTCCTGATTATTATGACTATAAAGTTAAGTAATTTGATGCTGTATCTCCAAGTCGTGGATCAGGTGCTGCATAGAATTATGTTTTCATTCTTAAAAGAGTTTCAGATTCAAACAAACTAGCTCCTTAACATTTATTTCTGAAATTTACTGAATCATCTTGCTTGACTTATGAAATCTCAGATGAAGCAGCTTTATTCTACAATATGTAAATATTGGAAGACAATGATCATATGATAGGCTTAATGCAATCTGGTGATAGCTATTATTATTACATTTTCAGTTTTAAAACTGGAATTTACAAGTATTAACTATTAACTGAATATTAGTACAAAAGTGTCTCAATGGTTGCATATTCTGACAGGGTTATAGATATAACAAAAGTATCCAATGTGAGAGTATTTTCAGTAGGCTATGCTGAGAAAGACTATAGCTTTAATCAAACAAATGATTACCAAGATTTTGTCAAAACAGCATTTATATTTGATCATACATAGCCTGGTAAATATTGCTATTCTAATACTTTACAAACTTTGAATGGAAAAGATACTTTTCCAGCAGTAAAAAACGATAAGATTAAATCTAATGGAGGACTAAATGTTAAATTACCTCACTGGCTATTTGTGATTTTAGATTTGTTCATATCATTTGCAAGTTCATCTACAATAGTTGAAGTTTAAAATTTTGAAATTTATCTTAGAACTCAATACCCCTGCAATCCTGCTCGTACTTTACTATTCCCTTAATAACAAAATATCGATTTATACTTCAAAGATAATCTAACAGCTGTATTAGAGTTTGATACCTTTTGGATTGACTAAACTGTCTGCTAAAATGATTATTTGTCAGGTTTAAAATGCACTATCAATAGTCAAGGAGTACCTGTAGTACTTTCAAAATTGACTCCCTTTACTCAGGATGGTAAATAATATTCTTTGGACGTTTCTAAAACAAATTCATTTGTTGATACTATATCAATAGACTGCACAGTCTAAATCTCACCTTATAAGACTTCAAATGTGGGGAGATATTTGAAACAAAAATTGATTGTCAATATCATCAATTAAAAATCTAATGAGTGCAATTAAGACACCTTAAATTATAACTATATCACATAAATTAAGTTATTATTCACATATTTTATTGGTAATAAAACGCTTGATATAATGGAGGATGAGATATATCAAATTTCAGTTGCATGTGATTATATTTTAAAAATAGAAATTGATGATGATTATCAAGATATAGTTACTTATAATAATACTATGAAAATGCTTTCGATATAAACATTTGACACTGAGAAATTAAATAAATAAAGTTTCACAATATAAGTAAAATTCTCTAACAGTTCTGTATTACTGGCGAAAATTAAAATTACAATAAATTTGGAAGGATGCAAGTTATCTAATCTTTAGCCATCTGGACCAGTTGATATTTACTACTATTTAGGTTCTTCATTTAAGCCTTTAAAGATCAATAATTGGATAACACCTTGCAAAAATTTTACAATTGATATATATTTGGTCTTTAAAATTCAAGGTTAAATAGCTCTTTTACCAAATTTTATGCATTTTGATAAAAATACTAATATTTTCACACTATACACATAGTCATAAGAACATTTATAAACTTACGAACTTGTAATAATTGGTTAGATTTTATATCAAGAGCCAAGCTATCATTACTTCAAAATCTTCATAATAGAAAAGTGCAAACTTATACCATCAAAGATTGACACGCCAATCACCTATAAAATTGGAGAGAAGAAAAATGTGATGATTTTACCATTTAGATAGAAATTCTGCTTATCAAATATTATTGAGTATAAACTAGTATCTTTGAATGGCTTTCCACCGGATTTCATAAAATTTGATGAGATGAGATTAGAAATTTTTAAGAACAACTACAGAGTTAATAGATTGTATCAATTGGCAATAGTAGGATCTATCGATTAAGATGATGTCTCTAATTTTGTGTAGTTTTCAGTTATGATTATGTTTCCAAAAAATGTATTATCCTTGATTGAAAACCCTAAGAATGAAACAAAAATAGACTAGAATTACTATAACTTAAAGGCAGAAATAACATCTATAGGGTAATCTGGCTAGGTAAATGTGCGATTTATGCCATTTATTAAGTATCTTCTCTCAAATATCACTGAGAATAATTCTAGTTTTAAACTGAACATTTCAAAATATGATGATGAATAAAATACTTACACCTATCTAGCCTAAAGCTAATTTAACTGGACAATAATAATGCTCAATTCAGAGAAGATGATGCTATAATTAGACTTCTCAGATGAAATTCAAATTTCCTATGGGGTAATGACTTTTTCTATTATTTCGATTTACAGTAATCTAGGGTTATCATTACGCTTAGCTGTTTGTAATGCAAAAAGAACAAAAGCATGAAAATGACATTCCCACAATACTGTCAAAATGTCAATCTAATGCAATGAGGATACCAAGATAACTTAAAAAGGATAGTAAGCGATAGATAATTATCTAAACCATAAATTTAGAATTCAGAGCATTTGTGACAGGATACGGCGAATTAACTACTTTAACTTTGAAGACATTAACTGCTTCAAACTTTTTATTGAATCTTTTTATGTAAATATAATTAAGTGATAATCATAATTAAGGTCTACTTCACTTTAATACTTGTGGGGTATGGTTAATCAGATGTAGATAATAACTCATATGCCTTTGAATCAAATAGATATGCCAGCAAATGGAAAGTTTCTTTTTGGGATAATTATAAACATTTGCAACTTCAATGTCCTTCCAACTGGTGAATTGATAGATTATATATTCTAGTTTAATTCACAAGACTCTTTCAGCTTCAATTTTTTGGACATGGATATCTTTTAAGCTTTTAAATACTTTTGCAAATCTTAACTAATTAGAACGGTATTCAAGTATGATGGTACCCTAGAATTTGTAGTCTATGTTCCTTTTTATCATGGGTTATTTTTCGCTTACTATATTTGTGTTATTTCTTCGATTAGTAGGGAAAAATGATAATGGGTAAGATTTTTTTAAAAAAATAATCACTTTAATAGATTCCAAAAAGGATATGAGAATTTGGCTAAGAAACTATTTTACAATGCTTACATAAGATTTTTCATCGAATGCTATTTTGAAATATTTCTTTGCTCACTCATAAATTCCTAAGCAGTATCAAATAAGATATCACTAATCTTTTCTATAGACAAATCCTACTTCATTCAATGAGGGATTCTCCTTATTTTTAGCCTACCTTTTCATTGTAGTTTCAATATGGTTCATTGCATTTAATATGACATTTCAGCTAATCGAAAGAAAAGATTACAATAATCCTGAAGTGATTAGCAAATTTGGTTCACTTTATGAAGATTTTTAGTCAAATCACAAAATTCAAAGATGCTACTACTTGATATTTCTAATGAGAAGGACTGTATTGTGTTTACTATTTTTATTTGTAGAAAATGGATATCTTTAAATGGCTATGAATATTTTTCTATCAATGATTACAATCTGCTATCTTATCGATATCAAACCTTATCTTGAAAGGAAATAGAACTATTTAGAGATTTTCAATGAAATAGGAATACTTTTGATAACCTATTTTTAACTATATTTCATTGACGGGATGTAGAATAAAGATATTGATACTGACTATAATATCGGTTATTTAATCATATCACTAACATTGATATGTCTGTTGATTAATACTGGAGTATCACTCTATGTTACATTTAATCCAATTTTTATCTATGCTAGAGCTAGATCAGGTCTCTCATGCTGTAAACCTAAAAATAATTAAAACTCATAGGATCATTAAAAGTAGTATTAAATAGACTTAACTTTTGATTCTACCTTTGATGGAGCCTTAGAGATAGATTATTCAAAGAAGAACAAAAAGACTAAGAGTAAAAAGGGATTTCCAAAGTTGAAAAAATAAAAATCAAAGTTTCATGATAAACACAATTAAAAGATGTAGCTAAAATAAATTAACAATTTTGATCGTGATTTTCAGAGAAATGAAAAGCTAATTAAATAATCTTTAGCTTATTTTGATATGCCAAGAAAATCACTGTTTGAAGAAAATGTAATTATTGGTGGTAACAAAAAAGAGAAATAGTAATTCGTAGAAGAAGATAGACATGTATATGTTGAATTTTTGAGCAGATAAAATAAAGCATCAGAGAATAATATATTTTCGGATATGGTTTTATCTAAAGAAAAAGAATTAAAAGCTCTATAAGATAAAGAATCTAATCAAGCTAGCTCAATCAAAAATAAAGCCTACGAATAATAGCTTCCTATTGTTCTTGAAACTTATGATCCAATAATTTAGGAATTTGATGATTTAATCTAGCAACACAAAAACTTTGAAAAAAGTAAATAAGAAACAAGACTTGAAATTGATGGATTAAATATTAAATAATGATTATAGCTTTTGATTTAATAATTTTTTTATTCTTGAATTTTAAATAATTTAGATTCACGGGGTTTTGGGGTTTTGGGGTTTTGGGGTTTTGGGG